AGCGACCAACGTCAGCACTAGCCGTAAACGTAAGTTATCCTGCCGTCTTCAAAGTGCATCTGAAGGTTAGCGGCGACGCATATTTATTTAATTTTGAGGAAAACCAGATTTGAGCGCCAATTTATAAATACTGTTCAGGATTCTACTGAAAAATACCTTTCCGATGGTATACTTGAGTGACTCCAGGGCGAGGAGTCACTCAAGTAAACAATTACCTTGATTGTTGTCCATTTGCTTCTGTAACACCTTCTAGTCTCTGGAGGTTTAAGTCTGGAAAAGTTGAAAAAGCATTTTCACTACTATTAGACAGTACTGGAAAATGATTAAAATACAAAATACAACTTATTAAAAAAAACACAACCAACCTTCAATTTGTGCTGGATTTACATGCACGATGGCAACTTCAGAACCACAGTTCCAAGCCTTAACAACATCAATTAGGACTTGATACCGAAGATAAAATGAACGAGTCCCACTTGACAGTACAGCAGTTTTCAGCTTTGGCACCAAGGGAATGAACTTCTTGTACATTTGATTAGGTTCCAACTGATCGTGTAGAGCTTCACCAGGTAATTTTGCCTCTATCAATTGGTTCTAAAACTTATGCTGGGTCTGGGTCTGAATGGGCTTGTCAGCATCATCCACAAAACTGTACTCTTTCCACCATCTTTGTGGAACACGTTTTTTGCTATAGATAGAGAGCCTGAAAATAATAATCATAATTTATTTAAAATGAACATTAAATACCTAAAAAGGGATGAAAATTAAAATTTTGAAAACAAAAACTAACACAATGAAAATACTTTACACATTACACATCAAGCACACTTACAGTCTTCAATAATCTATTGTGCCCTTCCACTCTGTTTGTGCTGTTGTTCTTCAGGTTCATGACCAGTACTTTGTCTTTCAGACTCCAAGCCTGTTTGCATTTGACCCAATTTTTTTCAAATGTTTGAAGCATTTCTGGTGCAGCAATAGTTTTTAAGTTATCATATGCTTCATCAAAACTTTCTTGGGTTTCACAATAGATGACGGATTTCATTAGCTCAACACACTCTGTCTTATTTTTGTATCCTTTAGCTAATAATTTAAAATTCTTCTCAGTGTGCACACTGCATATGTGCACTGCCACATTGGGAAGTACTTCTTTAATAGCAGCGATTTCTGAGAAGTCCTTGTCAACAACACAACACACAGTGCGATCAAAAACACCTTGGCCACTGGCTTCTACAAAGTGGTGAAGAAGGGCAGTCAAAGCATCTTGCCGTTCATTCGCTAAAAAGGCATAGGCAACTACTAAACCTTCTCCCTCTCCATCCATTACATCAATCACACTGACCGGCATTCTATTCTCATTGATCTTGTAAGTTACATCCATCAGTATGACTTCTCGAATTTTTTGGAGAGCCTCTCTCATGTCGCTGGTCTGGATGAAGATAAAAATTACTTCTTTGGTATCAGGATCAGTCTCAATGTGTAGGCTGGCACCCGGATCTCTCAGGCTTAGCTCCTCTAACTTGTCTCGTAACATTTCTTCATCAGTTCTCCCTTTTCTCTCTCTTTTCTTACGATTAGTGCTGCGACAAAAAGAAAAAAAGAGACCTAACATTCCTAGAGTTCTAAAGGCATAAGAGGGAAAGATCTTGTAAAAGGTACTCACCCAATGTTGATGATGTCCCTGCCTAGTATCAGTTTGTTTGGGTCCACATCCAAGGTTTTAAGAAAAGGTCTAATAAGCGTTGGTTTGACCCCCAACTTTTGAAGGGACTCAACCTTTGCTTTGATGTCATTTGACAGACGCCTATTTTCAGGATAACCACGAAAAGTTATCGCAGTGGTTGCGTGATTGTGCGTCAAGTTAATCTTGTCAATATAAAGCTTGTTTTTATCATCAGTCCTTTGAAGTGTGATGAAAGACTTACAGCCAATCTTGTATGTTCTGTAAAGCAACATCATTAGTTAGGAAGTCAAATGTCATGCTGTTACAAACCATTCACTTACTTCTGCTTTGGACGGTCTCCAGTCAGTTTCTTGTTAGGCCTTTTCTGCCCATAGTGTTTACATACCAGGTTCACAAAAGAGTGACCCGGTTTGACTGTCAGCTTGTCTGATCTGTTTTTAGAAAATACGGTATTTGTGGCCTTCTGCAATCTCAATTTAGCCTTCTTAAATGTGGCATAGTCCTCAAAGACTGACCCAAGAGAAAAAATTTCTAGCTGTGTAAAGTCAGTAAGAAATCAGATTATTAGACTACAGATTAAACATTGGCTAAGCATAATGGCATTTAACCAAACGAACTTAGAAAAAAATGAAAAGGATACAGCTGTGACAAGCTCCATACTTGAAGCAAGCTTGAAGCAGGGAGTGAATTTGATACATGAATTCGGGTATTTTTCAACAATAAAAGAATACTTACAAGATTTTCATCTTCTTCTCCTAGCTCTTCTGCCATATTTACGAACGCAAACGCAAACACAAAGAGAAACGGTCCAATGTGCGAAACGGTCCAATGTGCGCGACACTTAAAGACTTCCGAAACATGACACCAGTCCCAACCTGTCTCAACTTGTCCAGTCCTGTGCCGACGTACGTTCGTGTTAGCCGCGTCAGTGAGACAATCCGCGCACGGGTGGGGGAGGGGGAGTGAAGTGGTGGAGATGTTTAGTAGTGTAAATAGCGCATAATAGATTATTTGCCCGGGTTCCAGCCTGCTCGCGGCTGCTCGCGGCCCGACCCGTAGACCGCAGCCTGAGCCCAGCCCGGGCCGAGTCTGAGCGGCTGTTCAATCTAAACGGGCGTTCAAAGACACTAATTTTAGCCGTTCTGTAAGGTTACACCAAAATTTGGCTTTGAACACTCTCAGCCCGTTACTGACGTTTTGCAAATACACAATGAACTCGATTATACAGCGGTAATACTCACAAAATTGCACGTTATACTCACAACTTAAGTAAGTGATACTAATTATTTTGTAAGCAAGTAATAAGGATGATCTTCCTAAGTAGTTCCTAACAAAACAATTAGTAATACTTACTTAATTTGTGAGTATTACGTGCAATTTTGTGCACACTAAAATCTTATGAACATTTTTGTTTATAGTGACTGATTTCTGTAAACATGCTCGGCTTACGCATTTTTTAATGCGTCAGTATAAAGAAATTTGAGCATACTGGCGTATTAAAAAATGCGTAAGCCGAGCATGTTACAGAAATCAGTAACTATGAACAAAAAAGTTCATTGGCTGAGCGATTAGCGAAGCCTATTACTCCAGTGATGATCAAAAACTTTCGCGTCTGTGTGTGTGTGTGTGTGTGTGTGTGTGTCTGTTTGTCTGTCGTCACGTTAACACGAGAATGAATTGAGTTAGCGACCTGGGATTTTCAGGGTCGTTTTGTGTCATAAAAAGACAGATCGAATTCGAAGATGAGCATTCTAGCTCAAAAATTGGATTTAAAAAAAATCAAAAACAACAGGTCCTAAAAATAACGTTTTTTAAAAATATTTTTTTACAATTCCTAAGGGGTAACTCATCAAAGTAAAGCCCTCCGGGCGGAGATGTCGTCCGTTTGGCTCTATCTTCAACCGTTTAGGCGCCACAGGGAGTTTTTGACGAAAATAAGCGAAAAAATGTACAACCTTGCATTCTTAGTCGAAGTGACGGGACGGGAAGTTGACGGGCCGAAGGCCCGTATCTTTGTGTACATTTTCGCGCGTCCCGACTCGGGTGTCAGCGCCGCAGGCCTAGGTAGATGTATGCCAGGCGCGTCGCAGCGTAACAGTGTTTCGTGAGATATCGCGAAGCCTGTTACGCGAGACGTGGTCTGGCGTACATCTACCTAGTAAGATTTTAGTGTGTGAGCATTACTGCTGTATAAGCGACTTCATTGTGTATTTGCAAAATGTCAGTAACGAGTTGAGAGTGGAGGAATTTAACAGTGAGTCAACAAGACATTTTGACGTCGGAGCAGGGAATTTTGGCGCCCATATAACCCCAAAAAATTCGCGCTCGCTTCGCTCGCGTGTTTGGATGCTGTTTTTCGTTCCTATAACTCAGGGAACTTATTACAACAGGCGGGCAGGAATTTAAGGGGAAACTCAGGGGGAATGGAAATGGAAAGATTGTGGCCACTATATAACGAGTGCAAGAGACGTTCAGGACAAATCTATTTCCACGTTAAATTTTCAATTTCACATCTTGCCTCACACTACTACTACTAAGATATTACTAAAAACACGATTTTTCTATTTGCCCCTAGAAGGTAGGCAAATCCGGGCCCCTTCACCGTATTTCCCCCCCAGGGTCATTACCCCCCAGTTTGTTATAGGTAGATAACGAGGGCTTCAATAAGTATCGAACACCCGCGGCGCGGGAGGTAGAGGTGACGGCGGCGGAAAGTGGAATTCAGCAATGCACCCCTCCTCTGTCGCGCCTGCCGCTCGGCGATCAGCCGCGGCGAGCAGCCGCGAGGCAAGGGAAGCCCTCGGGGCGCTGGAGACGGGCAGTCGCGAGTAGGCAGCGGTGAGTGTGGGATGCTAATTGTGCTGGTTTAAAGTGTGAGAAATAGACCAAGAACCAGACAACTCAGTCGTACATCATTCTCTGATAGAACCACCAACACCACTAAAACAAGTCCGCCCCTGGCTCTAGCTCAAACCGTTGAGGCGATAGAGGGTATTTCTGAAGAAAATATGCGGAAAAATATACAACCCTGCATGCTTTGTCGAGGTGATGGGCCGTTTGGGGGCCGTAGGCCCGTATCTTTGTGTAAAATTTGCCACTAGCCGACTCGGGTGTCAGCGCCGCAGGCCAAGGTAGATGTATGCCAGGCGCGTCGCAGCGTAACAGTGTTTCGTGAGATATCGCGTAGCCTGTTACGTGAGACGTGGTCTGGCGTACATCTACCTTGTTTATTTAGTATTACTACAATATTCGAAGAAGCACCATATTTAATATCAAAAACTTTCTGGTTTTGGCTGCGTAGAGAAAGCTTGTATCAAGGACATCATTATGAAGTTGGGTGAAGTCAGCACACCTAAACTATGACTATAGCAAGCACTTTTATTGTAATTTTCTACGAAGGACGAAATCTATCAGTTTAGTATATCTTCTAATCAGCTTAAGAATTTTGACAGGATAGGTTTCCTTTCGATACCCCCTATGTAAAACCGCTCACCGTTTCGGCTGCTGCGGACAAACGCTCAGCTCACTCCCCGCCTGCGGACAACCGCTTACCTAGTTTGGCGCTCCGGATAACCGCTTAAGTCGCTTTTTCACCTAAAACGTAATATTGGTATCATTCGAAAGAGAATTACCGCCTCTTTCGAATGATACCAATATTACGTTTTAGGTGAAAAAGCGACTGAAGCGGTTACCCGGAGCGCCAAGCGAGGTATCGGTTGTCCGCAGGCGGGGAGTGAGCTGAGCGTATTCTCAGAGCCACTGAGGCGGTGAGCCGTTTTACATAGGGGGTATCGCTTTCTATGGATTTTTGCACAAATGGCCAATGCGGAAGACTGAAAGTCGATCAAGGTTCTGTTTGGCGCGTAGTTCCTGTTTGGATCCCTTCAAATTTTGGGAATGTTTTATTTTGTGAAACAGAGTGCTCCATGGTGGACACCAGCAATGGAAAAAAATTTTGTTCGAATTTTATTGAATTTCCACACATACACTCCGACCAGCCAAAGAATGCTTTTCGGTCGAATGTAGCCCCTCCCCCCCCCCCCCCCATAAGAGCCCAGGCATTGCCAGAAGCATTCTCTCGCTTAATCGACTGTACCTTTGCTTGACATATGCATCTCTTGATGTACATGTTTTCACAGCCAAGTTCATTATGTATGTTATGAGTGGGTTTTTTTCAGGAAAAATAAGGAAAAATTGCTGTCAGGACTTCAATGTTATTATTTGTGAAAAGTTCTATTAAAAATTTCAATGTATTGTAAAAACTAAGCATCATTAAAATACATCAATTCTACTCTTCAGGGCTTTAGTCTTCTTTGGCTGAAAGTCCTTATCATTTAAATAGTGACACTCCTAGAATTAGAATATTATAGTACTTTCAAACTTACAATCTTATACACAAGACTTGAAAACTCATATTAACCGTTGAAGGATTAGGTTGAGACACAGCTTTAAATTGTTTGTTTTTAGGTGGTTCTGATTCCTATTTCTTTGCGCCCTCAGAGGACAGTAACTGCCACGTGTGCTATAAAACAAGGTTTAAGGTACAAATTTGTAGGAGATGAAAAGCGTATGTGCACACAACAAAATCTAATGTGCATACTTACTTAATCATTGACATAATTTTGTAAACCTTGAATTTGTTTCTCTTTCGATTCCAAATCATTTACATACACCTGAATAGTCTCGTTTATTGAATGAGAGGTCACTTACACCAACTTCCTTCACAAGGTTTTTATTTTCCTCTCAATAAAACAAAAATTTTATATAAGTATTCTAGATTTTGATCTGGTGCTGAAGAAAATCATTTTGCAAAGAACTAGTACAAGTAGGGTAAAATGCCCTATGATGGCCACCTTAAGAATGGTCCTGTCCAATGATGGCCACCCCTTTTTCTTGTAATGTAGACAACGATGTGAAGTAGTTTGGCTTATTACGCCCAAGTAGGGACCTTACTAGAACACACTTCAAGGCCAAGATTGTAAAGTGACCAGATTGGCTGGAAATCGAGAAAAGTGGCCATCAATGGACACTGGCCACATTAGGGCACTTTACCCTAGTATAAATTTGATCAGCTACTGTGCGAAGCTGTTCAGCAGGATCCGTTTGGCATTGCTATCACAGAAACATTTGGGGCAGCACCATTTGTCAGGCAGTTCTATAAGAAAAGGAAAATGATGTGATGTGAGAGGTGAAACTAACGCAAACAATCAAACTGCATACAAATAAAAGGGGGGAAAACATACTTTGCTTCGGGGACACCCCAATACAGTTGCCATGGAACCACTCATCGCAGTTATCACAACCAATCATAAATCTGGGACGAATCATAAGATTAGAAATGCGAATGAATATTGGAAAGGGTTTTAAAAGAAAACAAGAACCATACCTTACAATCTACATACCTTGAGCCAGCTGGCTTGCGACACATGCAATACATCTCTGGTCTCTCCAAATGGATCGGATCTGGAAAATCATTGCAATTTAAAACATTCTCATATGTTGGATACAAGGTTATTTTTTTATTTTTTATTTCGGTTTTATGAAAATGGAGTGACACAAATGTTAAAGACTTTCAAATTTAGGTCAGGATAGTGAGAACCACATGAATTTACTTCAAACTTGTTCGTATATAGCAAAACATAGAATAATGTTGAGTCTTTATCTCCCTTCTTCCTTTTCATGATAGTCGCTTTGCCTCGCTTCTGCCTTTTCATGATAGTCAATCTTTTTATTGCACGCTGTTGCGTTTACGAGGATTCCCCATAGAGTTCATTGACATTTAAAGCAAGACTCTGATTTCAAAAATAAAACTTATACCCTCTTACTTCAAAATTGATGTAGTAACTTTACTTCCCTAGTAACACAAGACTGTCGCTGTCGCACATAGTGTGATTTTTATCTATCGTCCAATTATTGTGACACTAACGAAAATCCAAAAGTGGTGACTTTTCCTTAGTCAGACGATTGTCGCTGGTCTATCAAATTTAGACCATCTGCAATTCTGCTGTATTCTTATGAATTCGTGATCGAATCACAACAGTGGTTTTTCGCTTCCATTACGATAGCTGGCCGGTAACGATTTTCGTTTTGAGGAAAAAATATAGTATACCGATAGAATAATTTTTCTCATTTCGTATATCGCACCGATAGTTCGTATCTTTTTTCTACTGTTGTCCGACTGTCGTACGACAGTTCTGTGCTACTAGGGATGTATCGATTTCAATCGCTTTAGAAACAGCAAAATGCGATTTTCAACCTGGCATATCGAACCGTGAACAGAAATACACACACAGACACACACACTCTCTCTAGCTTTTAATCGAATGAAAGAATGGTGTCTTCTGAATAATCTTGTCCTTATAATGATGGAAAAACAAACATTGTACAGTTTCGAACCAACGAAAGAATATCAAAAAATGTTTATTCACACTTTGTAGAACTATATGTGAACAGCGCAATATTCTTAGGTATAATTTTAGACCAACACCTTAATGGGACGTCCACCTTCAGGAATTAAAATCAAATTTTTGTCAATCTAATTTTGGTGTCAAAAGAATTATGTCATTAACAGACGAGCAAACAGCTCTCGTAACTTATTATGGAATGTTTCACTCTAAATTATCGTACGGCACATTGCTTTGGGGAAACTCTACAGCGATGATTGATATTTTTAAACCCAAAAGAAAGCAATCAGAGCTATATGCTCTATTAATCAACGGACTAGTTGTAAACAATACTTTGTAAATTACTAAATTATGACTGTGTACTCTATTTCCATTCAACAACTGCTAAATTTTGTTAAAAACATGAAAATACTTTTCAAAAGTCAAAAGATGTACACAACTACCCAACTAGACATAATACTAAAATTTATAATAACTTTGTGCACCTCTCTGTCAGCCAAAATGATGTACTCTTCCTAGGCCCAAAACTTTTTAATACTTTACCAAGTATTATTAGAGACTTGCCCATGAAAAAATTTAAAAGTAAAATTAAGAAAGAACTATTAAAATGTGCGTTCTACAACCTGGAAGACTTTTTAAAATATGGTTTTATGTTCAAGCATGAAAATTGTTTATAATAACTGTTTGTACGACGGTTCAGTGACAATAAATCTCTCTCTCTCTCTCTCTCTCCACCACAACAACAGACAGCTACCTGCTCGAGGGCGCCAAAAGTTGCAGCGTAACAGGGCGCGTCCTTAAACCATTGAGTGTGTATTAGGTTGTGGCAAGTTTAAACTCTCTACTTAACACTGAATCTTTACAAATTCAATACTGGATTATCTAGATAGTGACAGTAATTCAGAGTCCCCTAGTAACAGAGGAGATGGAAAAAAACCTGCCTTCATTGTGGAAACACAGACCGGCAAAGAGGATATCAAAGTTCTTAAGGCTTATATCAAGTCTACAGCGGAAGCTAAATGTTGGTTAAAGCAGTTTTCGTTAGAAACTGGAACTGATTTCATAAATTCAGAAATGAAGAAAGTTCAAAGGTAAGTAGGATTACCGTACTTAATACATCATTCTCAATTTCCTTGGCTGGATTAAAAGATGTTGACCGAGGGGTGCCCAACTGTGGTGGTAATCAGGTTTACACAGACTTGGTAATCACTAGTAATCACTTGTAATCCCTGGTAATCCTCACACTCGTGAGGGTCCTTTAGAAGGACAAATTTGTTGACTTAGACATGAATTTCTGTGCACATTTTGCCTAAATGCCAACGTGCATGTTTATTATGGCAACTTTGCATCCCTCCTATGGACAAAGTCATGATTTGGCCAATCAAAGAATGTAAATTTTTAACTTGCATGATAAAGAATCAAGAACTACCAAAGAGTTGCACAAAAATGCATCTTTTTCGGAACAAAAAATGGCCGTTCCGATTTAGAATTTAGTCGGATTATACCTTTTAAACAAAGGCAATCTTTGGTAATCATTGGTAATCTTTACAATTTGGTAATCCGGTGTACACATTCTTATGGAGTTAAGCATCCCTCGATGTTGACAGTTGGATCGAGCAAGGACCTGCGACAAAAGGAAAACAATGGATATTATTGTTGATTATATCTTCCTTCTGTTACGATCAAAATATGTTTTCTTGCAGATTGGTTTATCATGAATACTGGAAATGCAGCTTGGGCAAAATGAATAAACTATCACTTTCCAAGAGAAATTTTTCATGCCCAATGACAGTAGATATTAAGATTAAGAAAGTGAAAACAGGCACTATAAAAATGAGTTGAAATTTTTAAACCGTAAAGTGCCTCCGCCTGCTGTCATCACTATCAAAAACAAGCAAAACCTTGCTCTTCAAAACCATGAATAACTCAGTTATAGAAGGCCAACACAGGAGACGAAGAAGAAGTATTTCAGAAAGTTTGCACAGCCGCTAAGCGTTCATTTGAAATGAAACTTTGGATGGAAGAAGATGGGGCAATAAAGAAAGCTGATGCAAGTATTAACCCAACTGACCGACAAGTGTATCATTTCTATGACAATAATGGAGGAAAAGTAAATATGGAAGGACTGGATGCATGATCCTATGGAACACCACAAAAAAAGTATTCCAGAGTACAAGGAAAAGCATGGTAAGATATTTCCAGAATAATTATAGGTAGTATGTAAAAGTGTAAATTAACTAAATTTATAAAATGCAGGAACTGACATCTACTTTGATAACGAAAATGTAGAAAACTGGGCAGTACAAGTTACTGCGAGTCTTTTCAGAGCTTTACATGATTTGTATTTTTATATTTCTGTTTGCAGAGCGTGGTTGAGTACTGTGCGTGGAACCTTCGACCGCCAGACTCCGGCAAGGATCCAGGCCTCGTGAACCTTGTCCTAAAGGGGATCGGCCTCGGGTGGCAGAAGGGTCGTCTAGATGCAGACAAGCTTTTGCCGTGCCCTACGCTACGACCGTCCGCACCAACATGGCGTCAGCGGCCAAGAAGTCCCGGCAGGTGCTCGCAGCTAAGGTTCGTCCTCTCATGGAGGAAAATCGCTGCTCCGCCACTTGTGACTGCTTGACCGACAACCATCGAAAGGGCAAATACATGGTCCTAACATTGCACTACATCAGACACTGGAGGCTGTGCAGCAGGATGCTCTGTACACGCACTCTGCCACACTAGAGGGAGGCGTCTTCAGGTTTGTTATTCCTAATGAAAAAACGTCTGACATGTGTTAAGGATCGGGTTATAAGATAGTAACTCCTTTTTTTTCTCCAGCCGCCGACCTGAAAGCCCTACTCGAGCGCATGTTTGAGGACAGTGGTCTCGATGCTAGTTTAATGGAGAAAGTGAAGTGGGTGACAGATGCCGGGTCTGACATCAAGAAGGCCCTTGAGTCACACCAGTGGTATTACTGCACGGCCCACGCTCTGAACATTGTCCTGCGCACAGCTCTTAGTGTCCGGTACTTCGACATGATTGAGAGTGCGGTGCTCGCGTACCCAATGGCCGCCCAAATCATTAACGAGTGCAATGAGTGGGTGCAGGAAATGCGTACCCTTTACAAGAGGAAAAAGCTCCCAATCGCAAGATTGCGACTGAAGGCTTCTGTACCCACTACTGCCAGCCACGTTCGGATGCTGCACTCAGTGGAAAGAGCTCGTCCTGAGGAAAGTTAATGTATGTCATGCGGGATATTGCGAATGTAGGGATGGGTGACGGCAGGCATGCGCGAGTGGCGGCGAGCGGGAGGGGG